TGGTAACACTAAATGTTATCCCTAATCCCTTTTCCCCTGACACCTCCACCACTTGCCAAGCCCAGACGCCACATATCTTTAATTCACCTGTTTGTATTACATGTCGTTTTCAGCACAGAAGTAATCGTTCATTTTTTAGTTCCCTCCACCTGTTTTTTGTGATTCAGTGTTTTAAATTGAGATGATGAGGCATATTGGTTATCTCCCTTTTATTTTAAATTTAAGATGATAGGTGGCATATTGGTTTTCTCCCATTTAGTCATGGGATCATGGCTATATACCGGTAAAGGGATATCACCATGTTTTCTCATTTAACACAAGACCTTGCCGGAGTCCATGAAATTTACTATATACAAAGTTTTTTGAAAAACACTTGCTTAAATCATTGTATTCACTGCTTTTACCAGAAGTGAGTTTAGATATTTTTATTACATTACTTGTATCATATTCATTATATTATGCAAATTCACGTTACAACATTAAATGATAGACCTGTTAACCGTACCCTGCTGAATTCTGTAAATGGACTTGTCCGGCTTTAATGTTTGGAATTATTTTTCAAAGGACTTGATTCATTATGCATGAAATCTGCCTAAGTAAGTAATTTGAGAGCCCAAAAATTTGACAAATTGAAAAAAATCATCAAAAAATTACTTAGGACATATTTTTGTTTCATATGTTTAAGTTTTATCCAAATCAAAATTTAGGCCATTTTTCACTATATTTGAACATAATCTTTTTAGTGGTATCAAAATGAAAATTTGAAGTAAGTCGACGGAGCCAACAGTACAGGGCTTGGTCAAACCTCGCAGACTCACTGTGTCCTTGCTCTATACTGGTGATCCAACAGGGTTAGGGTTAAATACCTTTAATTTATTCAAAACCATAGAATTTTCATTTTCTGATAGTTATAGATACATTACTTAGTTTTATAATATCTAGTTCTTTCTTTAAATTAAAAGGTGCAATCAAATTTGTCAGTGTAATTCAGTATGTTACAAACGGTTTTGCATTTTGGTCAGTGGAATAGTGTGTGGAATACAGGTAGCAAGCGGCCCCTTTGATTTTATAATTGTTTCATATGATAAAATGTTGAACTCTTCCACTCTATAGCATTACAGAAAAAATACATGTTGCATTACAAAACAATTTGTGCTTTGTATTTTAATATTTATATTTTGGTATGCAGATGTTAAATATTCTTGTTTCCTTGTTAAAGAAAAAAAAGATTATGGAAATTGTTTAAATAAAATGCATGTTATTTTGGTTATATCTTGTTATTGTTATAATTTTTTCACTGTAACTGTTGAGATTTCAAATCTTCAATGAACCATCTAAAAGAATACTGACTCCTATTTTAATTTTAGCACAGACACAGGATGTGTTGTTTAAAACCAAATAATTATATTCCAGCTATCAAACTTATCCAAGCTATGCTGAAAATGATGCATGATTCAAGCTAAAGTGGTCAGAAACTTGATTAGAACCCCCCAAGTGTTTGGATTTTAATGACTTGTGTTGGTAGTTTTTGCTCTGGATCATGGCAGTAAGCCACATTGAAGTGCACAGTTCAGCCACTTAATCACTTCTGGGCATGCTGTCAAGTAGTTTACCAGTACTGTAGTTGTCTTCACTGTTGAAAGGAACTGTTAATTTCTGTACATGCCAGAGCAGAGGTACAGTGTGAATGCCCGTAGAAAAGATTTTATGACTAGCATACAATAAAGGTGATTTCATGTGAGTCAGAGATTGAAACTTAAGTTTCTTTAAGATTAATCACCATAGAAAAGTTCAGACTTTGTTAGAACTTAAAACCATTATCTTCCTCAGGAACCATAAGTGATGAGTGCCTTTGCCACCCAATTTTGAGCCAGGTCATCTGCAGATCAGTGCATGCAGTCTGCAAGGCTCTCTACTGATGTAGCTGTAGCTTAATATTTTGATTTTATGTCTTATATTTGATTGTACTGAAAGGAAATTCATCATGCAATTCCAGCAGATTAAGAATTCATTCAGCCATAAGGACCAGGCTACTGATAGTGGGTCATGAAATTAGTTTGATCAACATGCTTGAACACTTCTTAGGATGATTTTCTGCCTTCAAAAGATAATATAACTCCATTATCATTATTTTGTTCAGTAGGCTATATGCATGGTATGCAGTGTCAACTATGACATACAAAAAAGACAAATAATAAGTGCCATGACAGCACCACTGTTTTTCTCAGTGCAATTAATGGAAAAGGGACATAATTCTGCAAAAGTTCTTGGGAGACTTGCCTGCCCTTGAATATTAACAGGTATTTTAAGTTTGAAAAGAATATTTTTTTTGACATTTTTTTAAAAAAATATATCAGTCCAGAAAGGAAAAAAAATAAGCAAAAATGACCAAGTGGTAATTAAATATTATGCTTTCCAATTATCATAGTGAAAAAGTATTTGAAGTTTAAACTAAATATCTTTGATAGTGTTTTAGAAATGTATCTTGAGAAAAAAATAATAATCAAGAAATGCTTTAATATCTGTAATAGTTTTTGAGAAATGTACCTCAGTAAGATGTTTAACTTTAAAGAAATCCTAAGTTGAAAAAGAGGTTAAACTTTGAAAAATGCATGATCAGTTTACTTACTTGAATTTGAGTACATTCTAATTTGATAGTGAACAAGTATTTCAAGTTTGAAGTAAATACCTTTGATAGTTTTTGCAAAATGTACCTTAACAAAATGGTTACTTAAAAAGGGCAAAAAATTTAGTAAAAAATTTAAGGATATAATTTAGACTAAGGTTGTCTGCCTTATGAACATAATGGTGTCAAATTTTGATACACTGTGCACATTTATATTAAGTTTGAAGGGCCAACAACTTTATTTTTGAGAAAACAGACCATACAATCTTGGGCATTGTGCTCCCACTGACACAATCATGTAGACATAGTAACCTCAGTTAACTATCTTTGAACAGCAATCTTACTCAAGTTCATACCTGCTCATTTTAAATCTGAAATGTAGGGCTGTCATTACATATCCCAATATCAATATATTATTGATATTCATCATCTGATACAATTTCAATACACACTTTCAAATACATGTATACATGCTAAAATTATTTTTTTCTTTCTGTTAGTGAATATACTTCTCTATTTTGCATAATATCAAAGAGAAGTCATTTTTTTCCCAGTTTTCTTTGCTAACTTAAAAGTGCTTTAAACCCTGTTTTCAAATATCAGTATCAAAAATAACAGAAAAAACAAACTTTCTTTTAGTTTGTAGTATTTGTAATGTCTAATACAAGCATGCATGATCCCAATTTAAAACAAATGTTTTCCTTGTATCTACTGTCAAAGTCGATATATCAATATTTGTCTCTCAATAAATCGATACAAAATTTTCCATCAATGACAGCCCTACTGAAATGAAGCATTGTTAGGGGCTTGATGTCTTCAGTGAAGCAGATTCCTTATGATGAAGTTGAGCATGTGCAGGATTCTTTGCCCTTAACAACAGACAGATTTTTGAATTAGGAAATATCTATAAGACACATTCACTTTCTTACTACAATAGCTAATTGTTAGGGAGATATGGACAATTAAAACTCATCTAATTTTCTATAAAAAAATAAATCATCAAATGAATTTTCTTCGTAACGTTTTAGCTTTATATAAAGAACAACTATCTTTTTTTTTCATCCATTTTATTTTTTATAACAATATCATTAGATAAGGTGACACAAACATACATATATATACATTTGTGAATGAACTATAATATTATGTAATTAAGAGTCTTTGTAGAGTTGAAATTATTGATATCACAGAATGTTCTTCATTTACTTTTTTTCTGGTTTTTCTGGGGCTGAAATGGAAAAAAAAGAGAATATAATACAATTATTGTAATATTTTGTATCAAATTGTAATTGACTTAAAAGATCTAATAAATCACTGACAGCAATTAAGAGAAAATTAATTGAATATAATACAGTCAAATGTAAAAAAAAAAATTTGTATATTTATTAAAAAGTGAAAGAAAAAACTGAAACAACGTTGACTTAACTTTTTCATTTTGACATTATAGTATCTGGTTTCAAGATTAGTTTGTTAACTCGCATTTGATTGGCTGCATAATTTTGAAAATCGCCAATAGAAGAAAGGCTGAAACATAGACTGTGAGTTACTAATATTAAAATATTGAAGATTGGTATCGCGATCCTCACAGTCTTTAACAAAGCCTATACAAATCCAATGAAAACAAAATGTATGATACCGTAAAGGTAACTGCAGTCTGAAGTTTAAAAAAAGGATCTTGAAATTGGGGTACATTGTTTTTAAATTATAATGCAATCTTGTTCAGTTTTCTCTCCAAAAGGCTTATAATGCTACAAATCATAAAGTAGTGAAGTCTGAGTGAGGATACAACTTACAGAGATTGGGGTATATTGCTTGATAAATATACTTGAATACACTCTTTAGCAAAATCCTTTGCAAACAATATTGTATGCTAATAATGCCAGTGGGTAAATATTTTAATTTCTATGATAAGGCAGAAACTTTGTTTTTCTATGAGGAAATATAACAAAATCATAATTTTTAAAGACACAATTGTTTTATCGTTCATGATTTAAAAAAGTTTTAATAACCATTTCTACCCACATGGCAAACAAGTTTAATTTGATAAATTAATTGAGGATTATAAAGAATGAAAATGTATACCAGTCTACTTCAATATAAAGCATTTTGATTGGTTGATTTGAAAATGGATTTGACCAATAATATTTATCTTCTTTAGACTGGTATCCAGTTTCACTTTTATATCCTTGGAACCAGCAGTTAAATACAATAATCTCTGGCATTCTTTTATTTAAAATTGTTTGTCTTGGAAACTACACAGACTGTGAATAAGAGTGTAGTGAAATAAATACACATAATACAAAATACAGTTGAACTGTATACATTATTAACATATTTGTGACTAAAGTGACAAAAATTGTAAAAGAAGAAGACCTTTGAACCTTGTTGAGTTACAGTTATGCTTATGGCTTAATACAGCCTTAAAATTATTTTAGCTAAGTAATAACTATGCTGTTGGTCACAATTATTGCAGGATTTCTAATTAGTTTTATAGCACTTTAACTGTTTATTTTATTTATTTATCTTCATTTTGGTCATCTGCATTTAAATTGACAAGAATCATCAGCATTAAGACACTACTCTCAGAAAGGATGTTTGATAATGCTTAAATGCTTAAAAGTCCTATAAAAGAAACACTGAGAAGAGTGAAAATATGCCCAAACATAATGCCAAATTTTCACAAGCCAATCTTGGATGCATTACCTTAAACATCACATATTATCATTGATGATGTACATAACAAAGCAAAGTCATAGCAACTCTAATCATGCGCACAAACATTATAGTCATGAACAACGATTAAATTGACAATATCTATAAATAGCATCATGCAACTCACGCATATGAATAAACATATATATACTCACTACATCTTCTCCTACATATCGGAAGCAATAATAAAATAAAACAATAATTTGGTCATGTAAAATACTTAAAAAAGGAGTTCTTATACTAACTTCTATCTGGAAACAGTTAATTTATAATTATCAACTACACAAACTTTTCTATCTCCAACGTTTCGAGGGGTTAAACCCCTCTTTATCAAGGAGTTACTGTTTATTTTTATATAAATCACATATTTATCTTCTTACATGTCTTATCTTTAACTATGTTATGCATACAGGAAATGACGTCGTTGACGTCAACAATAAAAATTACGCAAAATATGATGATGACGTTTTCCGTCAAAATTGTTCTACTGCATAACGTTGCTCCCCTTATTTAATATTATTTATAATATTAACATAGCAAGAATTATGAAACTTATTTCATTGAAAATACATTAAAAGTAATAATAATAATTATTATTATTAAAAAAAATTTTTTTTACTAAAACATTCCAATAATATTTACAATAGCAAATAATTTAATAATAATAAAAATAATAATAGTAATAATCATAATAACAATGGTAATAATAATAACAATGGTAATAATAATAATAATAATAATAATAATAATAATAATAATAATAATAATAATAATAATAATAATGATAATAATAATAATAATGATAACAACAATGGTAATAATAATAATGATAATAATAATAATAATTCCAACAATAATAATAATGAAAATAATAATAACCATGATGATAATAATAATCATAATAGGAAATAACCGTAACAATAATAATAAGGAAAAGAACAATGGTAATAAAAATAACAATAATGGTAATAATAATAATGATAATAATGATAATTATAACAATAATAATCATGAAAATAATAATAATCATGATAATAATAATAATCATAGTAGGAAATAACCGTAATAATAATAATAATAATAACAATCATAATAATAATCATAATAATCATAACAGCAAATAACCGTGAACTAAATAATAATAATAATAACAGCAATAATAATAATAAAAGGTATAATAATAATTATAATTGTAATAATAATAATAATAATAATAGTAATAATGACAAGCGACACGTGATAAGCAGTGTCTAACTAAAATTATCATGTTTTAGTAGTTAGAAAAATATAATTGAAAAAAATTTAAAAATCAGATTGCAACAACGCAGTTTTACAAAAATACCGATGAATGCAATAATAACTGTCATAATATACTAACTATCAAAACAATAATAATATTGATAAATCCTTAAGTGCATATCACTATCAAATCATCTTATGAAAAATAGTAACCATATCAACAACAATACCAGCAAAGTGATTATGACGGCAACAATGATAATGATAAATCTTATTTTGTTTTGATATTTAGTCCAATAGGTGACCATGTTTGTAATTTATTTATCCAAAATTCTTCACGGATCCGTCTGTATATTGTACTTTTATTGTTATTTATTGATTCGATGATGTTGAATTTTATGTCATTTTCTGAATGGGCTGATGAATTAAAGTGGATAGACACAGGTTTGTCTCTGAATGCCCTTATATCCCAAATATGCTCTTTAACCCTCTCTTTAATGCTCCTCCCTGTTTCACCCACATATACAGGTTGATTACATTTCCCGCAACTTATCAGGTAAACTACATTCTTGGTGTTACAGTTCCCACCTCTATATATACTATACGTAGTGTCCTTCCCTTTTACTAACTAAAAGTGGTCACAACACCTTTTTGAAAATCATTTTCAATTTCTATAAAAAATAAAGCTTATTATTGTAACTTCACATTTCAAATGGCCTTCATCAGTATTCAATTAAAAGGGACTCCACTGAATTTTTTTGACATGACAGGAATACAAATAATTTTTCAATATGTTTCATTTGATGAATGTCTAGAACAACAACTTGTGTGCAAAATTTCAGATGTTTTGCTCACTCTATTTTTTTCAAAATAACCATTCTTATTGTGAAAAATGACAGAAAATTGTCAAACTGTGTCAAATTGGGCTAAGAATATCACAAAAATATGATTATCAATTTATTTCTGAGTATATTTTTTTTATTACTTTTGCATATCATTCTGTTTTAAGTGCCCCAGCTGATCTATGTAAGAAATTCATATTTTATATTTAATGCTTTTATACTTCAGTGGAGTTCCTTTAACTCCTAGGAAAATATGAGTCAGTAATGGTTGAATGAAAGTGTGACCCCTGTGGTACATTTTAAACATGGTCTTATGTTTCAACTTGTTCAATAAAGAATAAGACAGCTGATTGTTGAAAGTTGGTGAAAAGAATGCTGTCATGATATTCTGACATCAATAAACAGAATGAAACCATGTCCCTTTCCAGTTTCCATAGGATCTAGTTCTACATATTTCACTTATAAATTTAATATTATCTGTCTTTGTTTTAGAAAGGAGCTTGATTTTAAAAGTGAATCTTTTGTTGATAGTACAGGTCACAGTTTGTAATTTTATAGTCGCTTCATTTTAAAACATGCTGGCCAACTAGAACAATGTATTGGGCCTAAAAATTATAATGTTTCGCAACAAAATGCATTCTAAGAAAAAAAAAGTTGAAAAAAGTTGAAGAATATACTTTTATATAATTTCAGACTCAATTGCTAAAATTCTCATTTATTTTCGTTACTGTGGCACTTCATTTACCTGACCTTTATATTTTATCCATTTTATAATCATTTATAGACTTTCTTGACAGGTAAATGTGTCATATTTTTTGCATTTGTCGCATTAGAGAAAACTTTTTCTATTTACATAGTAAATATTAATTATTCCTACCTAACTAAACACTGTGTTTGACAATCTGATCTCTCAAAAGGTCTTCCAAATTTAATCATGTATCAATGTAGGTTATCCCCTAGAATAAACTTCAAACTAAAATGATATAATATTCTATATACATACGCGGTTCAGTAAGTTTCAGTAAAATTGGTCCAAGAATTTCTTCCAATAACTCTTTTTGTTCAATAAAGTCATGAGTTGTTGCCCCTGGATTACTTTCTACCCATTCTGCCTTCTCTTTACAACTGTTTAGAGATATTGTCTGCAAATAGATAATAAGGACATGCATGGGTATTAATTACCTTTAAACATCAAATAGAGTATATACCCACTACAAGCATTTTGCAAATTACTTCCCTTTTCTGTAAAAGAACAAAATTATGTTTAATGATGCAATTTTACACAAATTTTCTAGAGCAAAATTCCCGACACTGAAAATCAAGACATTTCTTTGTTTCACACCCATCTTAAGTGATAGTTATTTAATTTCTTCTATAAAACTTTAGTTTGTAGCTATGAAATATATAACATAACAGACGATTGTGATGGCTGACCTGTAAATTCAATGTGGCTTACTGCTGTGATCTGGAGTGAAAATTACAATTTCCCAGCACCACTACCATTACAACATAACAAGGTTGAAACATATCTGACCAGTCCTGTTTTGTTCATCATTATTGACATAATGGTACAAACATTTCATACAACTATTTAAACAAAAGATTACCTTGTCTTCTTTTGTAAGCCTGCCCTGGACTTTCTCTGGATCCTGAACTGTTTCTTGTGTTTGCTTAACTAAGTCAAGAAGAGCAACCTTTGCCTCTGAAATTAATTTTAGCAGATTTAATAATCATATTTAATAACAATGAATGAGGGAGTGGAGCTAATGGTTAAGGTGAATGCCTCTCAACCTAGCTATGGGTCCTGGATTCAAGCCATTTAAAAGTCATTACCAATTAAGTTACCTCATGTGACAACAGTTCCAGGAAGTTAACATGAGATTGGTTGAAATTAGCTCAAAGCTCCCATACTAATCTAGCTAAATATAATATTTATAAACAATAGTTTTCATAATACATCTTTTAGATAAAAAAAAATTGTCATACCTGCCCAATCTAAAAAGTCTACACATTCAGTATGACCATATCTTACAGCTGTTTCACGAGCTCGCTCATTATGTACATTTCTCTGTTGAAGGTTGCACTGAAATTCTACAAGGATTTTTATCACATCAAGTTTACCCCAGGCAGCTGCATGATGTAAAGCACAAAAACCTGTGATAAAAAACAAAATGTTAAACAAATACACAACACACAAGACTGAGTCACTGGTAAGGTTAAATATGTTTTGGCAATGCCAGTTGATTAAAGCTGTCCTTGATAATTTAATGGTACCACTTAAATGATTAATGCTATAAATGTTGATTTAATTACATGGGAACATAATTATAATATATTGACTCAGAATTTTTATACAATCACCGGTTTGGTGCAAGAAAAATGTTTTTAGCAGAGACTGAGAGGACTCAAACCCGAGACCCTCAGAATACCATATACCACAGCTCTGCCGACTGAGCTACATATATAAGGCAGCTTATAACTTTTTGACCCTTATGAATGAACAATTCAAGGCCTTGACAAAAATAGAATTCTTGTGTTTTTAACAGACCAGTAACTTAATTAAGTAAGGCCTTCATTATAATTTTGTGGTACCTTTTGGTGTTAATGAATTAACATCTGCTCCTCTCTGCAATAATTCCCTGGCCATGTCTGCTCGTCCGAGAGTAGAGGCAATATCTAGAGGAGATTTGCCATCGTTGTCCCTCTGATTTATTAACTCTGCGATTGTTTCTTTGAAAGGATCACTGTCATCTTCAAATGATTTTGTCAATCGAGGAATATCATCTTTTAAAATGCAATGTGTGACAATTGTTGTATTTGGTAGTAAAATTTCTATTTCATCCTGACTTTCCTCTTGATTTTCACCTTCCTGTAATGTCATTTTGTATATTTACGGACAAATTATTTAATTTTAAAAATAAAAACAACACCAAAATCAAAAGGAATTCCCGTTACTCCAAAACATTTAACGTCATTTGAAAAAAAAGAATTAATCGTGGTACACGAGTTATGAATGGTCAATAAACAGGGTTTTCCCCATCCAATAACCAATGAAAATAATCTTTATATAATCTCGAATGGAAGACAGCAAGTGCCCTGTCAAAATATTTTTTAAGAAAAATCACCAAAAATGGAAAAAAGGCATCAATAGTGATCAGTTTTTATTTTCATTATTACCTATCAGCAAAGAAAAATGCTAAAAGGAGCAGTTGGTATGATTTTATGCATATATTTTCATCAAAAAATGTGTAAACACAATGTAAATCGGGAGCTAGCATGACACTTCTGTTGTATTTTGGTGGGTGGGGAGCTAAAATTTTGTACCACCTCACTTATAAAGTGTTAATTCCATTACTAGTTAGTTGTGTATTATCTGTTGGTGTAATTTAAGTGAGACAATTATTTTGTAAATATAGCAGTGTGAATTGTGGCACCTGCACTTACTATAGAATATATTCATCATGTTCATAGAAATATCTAGTCAAAATATATTGATGTGCCAAAGCTTGATTCTGAGATATTTTCGTTCTGGGACAGAATCTCACTCGGTCGGTAGAGCTGCGGTACGGTATTCCGAGGGTCCCGGGTTTGAGTCCCGGTTAGGCTGCACATTTTTCTCACCCTGTGACATTAATCTTATAATGAATGCTAGCCACATTGGTTCAAACCTGGTCAGGCCTCAGGGGCAAGTCGTTGTTGAGCAAGAAACTTAACACTCATTGCTCAGTACTGGTTGGTTCCAGGAACCAATTCGAAAGTGTGTCTATAAGCTTAATTTTTAGCTTCCTACACAATTGAACTAAAATAATTCTGTATAAACCAAAAGTGCCGAACTGTCACAAAAAAGGTTGATTTTTGCATTTGGACAGAATGATGATGTTTAGGGCTTAAATGTCCTGTTAGCCTGCTAGTTTTTAGAAGAGAATCATCAAAAAGTATACTTGCTTTAGTCAGAGACATAGATAACAGAGATAGGCAACTTCCTAACCAGTTAAAATATCGCGCGTGCCTGCTTAAAACCTAAAAATTGTAGCAAGTAAAACTTATTAATCAGATATCAAAATCAGGAAAATAATACATTTTCTGAAAGCTTATGCATTTGTCTATGGCTGCAGGTAAAAATATTTACAGTTCCCATTTAAATAAATGACACATCAATATTTAAAGAGAATTACTTAATAATTTTTGTTACAAAACTATTCATATGACGAAAAAACTGGCTCAGTGGGTATGTTCTGCTATGTTTTTCTAAGTGAAAGGCATAAAAAGTTACCAACATTTTAACATGCAGCAATAGATGAAAGATTTACCTTTCAAATGGTGTATAATATTTAAGGATCAAATGTACATCCATTAAGTTTTATTTGCTACAAAATGCCTAATTTTTTACTTTTTGATAGGCATGAGTGATATTTCTATGGAGTATATAGGAGCTGCTTATCTCTGTCTCTGCTTTAGTTATTAATAAAATTATTTATATGCATTGATTTGTGTGATTGTGAATCAGAATTGGAATATTTAAAATTAAATAACTATTACAGAGACAGTAATCATCTTCAAAGATCTATTTTAATAGTTTGAAATATTTTCATTCAAGTAAATATTCCTTCTACTTCGTTTTAACTTCATTAGAAAAAAATCACAGGATTACAAATGTACAGGTATGAGGTGTATGACTCAGCGACTGCTTTTATTTCAAATCTTTTTATTTCAGACCTCACACAGACTGGTGTGGAAAGGCCATCTTCACCAGCTAGGCTTGCTTATACATCAGACAAACACCCTAAACATACTCTAGAAGCTATCAATGTTCTTAGAAAACACAGAGAATTATGTGATGTTGTGCTGATTGTTGGTCAAAGAAAAATCTTTGCGCATAGGGTGATTTTATCAGCGTGTAGTCCATACTTCCATGCAATGTTTACTGGAGAATTGGCTGAGAGTCGACAAACTGAAGTTACAATCAGAGACATTGATGAAAATGCAATGGAATTATTAATAGATTTTTGTTACATGTCAAATATTACCGTAGAAGAGAGTAATGTTCAGACTTTATTGCCTGCAGCTTGTTTGCTGCAGTTGGCAGAAATACAGGACGTTTGCTGTGAATTTCTTAAAAGACAACTTGATCCATCAAACTGTTTAGGAATTAGAGCTTTCGCAGATACACATGCATGTAGGGATTTGTTAAGAATTGCAGATAAGTTTACTCAACACAATTTCCAAGAGGTAACATATATACATATAATATTTATAAAAATGAAAAAAGTAACAAAGCAAGAAAATTATACTTATAGAAACAACTGATGTTTCTCATTAAATTATTCGCAGACCAGTTATATACAGACACTGTTGAGCAATCTGTTAAATTGGAAATATCAGTTAATGTTTGTCTCCAACATTATATTTTATACTAAAGAGTTTGTTGTGATTAACTATTTCTCACAACATTGATTGGATGATGCATAATTAATACATATTTATATCATATACCTCAATTTAAAGGTTTTATTAATTGGTATACATATATTTGATTGGGATTGAAGGTCAGTGAAAAATTTCTCTTCTTTATTTTTCTGACAATGTGACAATGCAGTGCTTGTGGCATCAACCTAATAAAAGACTATAGTAATAAATTTTCATAATAGTTTTGACTATTGAGTGAAGACATGAATCCACATATTATATAGAGGATATTGAATGAGTGTAGTTTAATACTAATATTATTGAATGAGCTGAATAAAATCATATTATGCGAGCCTCTGGCGAGCATAATAATTGTTCTATTCAAGGAGTTCAATAAATTTAGTATTGAATCTACACGAATATAATATTCTTTTTATCACATATATAAAATAAGAACAGTAAACTGTAAAAATGAGTATTTTTTCAATGACGCGCCTACAGTGTAACGCTTACATTAGTGCGCTTTAACGCTATGTTTCTATATAGCGCAAATGACGTCACGTCAAAGTGTTATTACACTAGTGTAATATCGTTTTTATTAAATGGCTTTATTACACTCCTGTGCCACGGTTTATGTGATAAATCAAAACATGTTATGATATTTGTAGGTTATGGAGAGTGAGGAGTTTATGTTACTTCCTATCAACCAACTTGTAGACATTATATCTAGTGATGAACTCAATGTACGTACAGAGGAACAAGTTTATATGGCAGTCATGGGCTGGGTGAAATATAATATACAAGAACGAAGAGAACATTTACCATCTGTAAGTACCAGTAGTAGTAAAGCCCTTGTCAAAAGATCTTGTTCTGCCTATATTACTACATGTATCTATAGCAGGGTTAGTTGCCTAGCATCAGAATTGTAGCCACAGTTTATCCCTGCCTGATTGTAAGGGGCTAGTACTACTACTACATATGTAAGTGGGTATGAAAAACTGGAGTCTATGCATCTCTTAGCTCCAGCAGGAGAGGAGGTGGTTTTCACTCCTGGTATTGCTTTCAAGTTTTGTAACCCCCCCCCCCCCCCAAAAAAAAGAGCCAAAGTCATCTTTCAGATGACCTACACTGTGTTGGTGTGCCATAAAACCAAACAAACTTAAATAAAGGAGTTGGTGAGGAAAATGGGCAGAATTTTTACCAAAATTATTTTGGCAATAAAATTCACTGGGAGTAAACAAATTGCTGATTATAATATTTTGAAAGATATTATAATTTGAATGAAAGGTTCATGAAACACATTGTTTTAAGACGTAGTTGTGTTTTGTCTACAGGTTTTACAACATGTACGTCTCCCATTAATGAGTCCGAAGTTTCTGGTGGGTACTGTAGGCTCAGACTTGTTGATCAAGAGTGATGATGCGTGCAGGGACCTGGTTGATGAAGCTAAGAACTACCTCCTTCTACCACAAGAACGGCCTCTAATGCAAGGACCTAGAACTCGAGCTAGGAAACCTATCAGATGTGGAGAGGTCTTGTTTGCTGGTATGTAATAATAAATGTTAGATATGCTATACAAAATTTTTAAAAAAATGAAAGTATTGATTATTTTACCAACTTTGTTAATTTGTTTTAGAGATACATTTTGTATCTCAACATAGCAAACTTTTATACAACTTTTCTTCGAAATGCTGAGAAGAAAGTTGAATTTGTATGAAACTGCAAATAAGCATCCATAGCTTTTACTTTTCTTTTTAAACTTGTTTGATGGTACAAAATCAGTTTGAAAACAAAATATGTTCAATCATTTACATATTTCATTTAAATTAGTGAGAGTCAAGCCTCTCTCCACTGTTCAAGTCATAAACATAGCTTCTTTTATGGTCCTTTATATTTTTCATTGTATAATTTTTTCTTAGGTTGTTTCTCTTTGCACCATCATTAAAATTTTACAGACTGCTAACTTAGATATTTGAGGCCAAAGGTACAGATTCTTTCTCTTCATTGAGGATCACGATTTGAAGCTTTGTTTAAGTGGCATTGGCAAGTATCTGTTGATGTCATTATATCATATTTTTTTTTGTATTTTTTTCATCAACCTAGTTAATATTTTAAAGGTTAAAATTATTATTGCAAAATGTAAGAAGCAGTATTGATTGGACTTTAAATTACATTTTGATGTATTGTTTTATGTACAGTTGGAGGATGGTGTAGTGGTGATGCAATATCTAGTGTGGAGAGATATGATCCTCAGACAGGAGAATGGCGTATGGTTGCACCAATGTGTAAGCGGCGCTGTGGAGTTGGTGTCGCAGTTCTAAATGACCTGTTGTACGCAGTGGGTGGTCATGATGGTCAATCATATTTAAATAGTATTGAAAGGTAGGGTTTGTGTGCGAAAATCTAGATTGGTGATACTTATTGATAGTAAGGTTGTGCTTGAAATATGCTTTTATCAACTCTGTCAACAATGTACATAAATGTTTATGTAAAGTTAAATAAAACTGTAAAGAGCTTTTTAATTAAATCTACCTAAATACTTGATTAGACTTTCAAATCTTAATTCTATGAAAATGTATTAAGCAAAATATAATACAATCATTTGCATTACCATGCTATATTGCAAAAGAAAATAAGTCACAATAGAATTTTATTTGATTTTAATAATGTAAGAGTTTTCTCTTTCCAGTACAATTAAAAGATAAAAGTAGCTTTAATTTAAACGTTTATTATGTCACATAGTAATTTTGTACAATTAGGCATGTATTTTAGCAGTTGGTGGGGCCTTCCATGGGGTATCAGTTAAGGTTTCAGACTTCAAGTCACTTACCTTTCATCATTATTGATTTGAATCCTATCAGGGATGATGGTACCTTATGTGAGGAAGTTGTCCAACTTGCATATTGTCCTAAATAACGCAGATAGGGCACCTGAAGTATTCTCCACAAGTAAAGCTTAAAAAGTGGCTATATGATTTTTACAGAATTAGTGAATCAAAAAATTCAATAAATGAAGTAATACTTTTTTAAAACATGATAATAAAATTACCTCCATATTTAATCATGACAGGTTTGATCCCCAGACAAATCAGTGGAGTAGTGATGTTGCTCCAACAAGCTCATGTCGTACCAGTGTTGGTGTAGCCGTTCTAGATAACTACATGTATGCTGTCGGTGGGCAAGATGGTGTCTCATGTTTAAATTTTGTTGAAAGGTACTTAGAATTATTTTTTATGCCCCCGCCATGTAATGGCCGGGGCATATAGTGTTACCCTGTTCCGTCATTCCGTCCTTCCGTCCTTCCGTCCTTCCATCCTTCCGTCATTCTGTCATTCCGTCATCATCAGTTTCCGTTCATTATCTTAAGAACGGTTGCACACATTCAACTCAAATTTGACATATGGATATGTCATGAGAAAATACAGGTCAAGTTCAAATTTGGTCATGGTTCGATGATTTTTGGCAGAGTTATGCCCCTTTTACTTTGAAAATAATATGAAATTTCAGTTTCCGTTCATTATCTCCCAAATGGTACAACACATTCAACTCTAACTTGACATATGGATATGTCATGAGAAAATACAGGTCAAGTTCAAATTTGGTCATGGTTCGATGATTTTTGGCAGAGTTATGCCCCTTTTACTTTGAAAATAATATGAAATTTCAGTTTCCGTTCATTATCTCCCAAATGGTACAACACATTCAACTCTAACTTGACATATGGATATGTCATGAGAAAATACAGGTCAAGTTCGAATTTGGTCATGGTTCAATGATTTTTGGCAGAGTTATGCCCCCTTTACTTTGAAAATAATATGAAATTTTCAGTTTCCGTTCATTATCTCCCCAACGGTACAACACATTCAACTCAAACTTGACATATGGATATGTCATGAGAAAATACAGGTCAAGTTCGAATTTGGTCTTGGTTCGATGATTTTTGGCAGAGTTATGCCCCTTTTACTTTGAAAATAATATGAAATTTTCAGTTTCCGTTCATTATCTCCCCAAAAGTACAACACATTCAACTCAAACTTGACATACAGATGCGTCGAAGGAATGCGCAGGTCAAGTTCAAATTTGGTCATGGTTCAATGATTTTTGGCAGAGTTATGCCCCTTTTACTTTGAAAGTAATATGAAATTTTCAGTTTCTGTTTATTATCTCCCCAATGGTACAACACATTCAACTCAAATTTGACATATGGATATGTTTTTGGAATGCCCAGGCCAACTTCGAGTTTGGTCATGGTTCAATGATTTTTGGCAGAGTAATGCCCCTTTCACTTTGAAAATAATATGAAATTTACAGTTTCTGTTCATAATCTACCCAACAGTGTTACATATGCAACTTAAATTTGACATATGGATATGTCAAAGGAATGGGCAGGTCAAGTTGGAATTTGGTCATGGTTTGATGATTTTTTGGCAGAGTTATGTCCCTTTCACTTTGAAAATAATATAGATACATCTTAGGAATAAGCAGTTTAAGTTTGAATTTGGTTGTAGTTCAATGATTTAAGACAAACTTATCTTTCCTGAATGTTGGAAAAATTTTGAACTTTCACTTTCAGCACTCATTATTTTGGCTACAAATATGCAATATGCTATTTTTAAAAGGTTTAGACTGAATAATTTTAGTGCCTTGAACATTGAATGAAAATGGTTTGTGTTAACATTGAAAAGTTTTAAGGGCTTTGAACTTAAAATGAAAAAAATAATTAAAGCACCATCTGAAATTTTGGCTGCATGCGGGGGCATCCGTGGCATGATGACACAATTCTAGTTTTAGGTCTAGTATTACTATATATAATATAGTACAATATATAGAATATTTCATGCAGGATACTCATGTTCCCCGCTATTATGAGGAGTTGTCCAAGAGAGCTAAACAGATGAAACCAATATCTACTGTCATTATTATTAAAAAGATATTGCAAGCATGCCTTTAATTTGTAAATGAATTTTGCATTATGTCTATTACACAATGTTTTAATGAAGATCAATCTAACTTTCTTTGTTGCATTTAAGAAAGAAGTAGTATTACATTAATGAGTTAATGAATGTTTTCATCTCATGTTCACTATCTTTGATTTATATTATATATATTTTTCTCCTAAGATATGATCCACAATTGAACAAATGGACTAAAGTGGCATCAATGAGTACACGTCGGCTAGGAGTGGGTGTGGCTGTTTTAGGTGGATATTTATATGCTGTCGGGGGCAGTGACGGTACTTCACCACTCAATACAGGTATAACTTTCAAGTTACTATCTTAATCTATAGCTGAGTATATAGATATAATATAATTCAGTGATTCTTTAGCCGTATTGTTCGAAAAAATAAGTCTTGCATAGATTTTTTTACAATATTATTCTCCTTTCCAAATTTCCTTGTATAAATTCTGTACAAATAAGATATTCAGTTAAAACTACACACATTTCTTCTGTGAATCCTTCGAGCATGAGGCTAGAATTGATTTTTACAGGATTACTCCCAAATGTCACCAGCATTGCTTTTGTTTGATTATGAAGTAAAGATTTTGTTTCTGTGACTGAAAAGTTCATATCTTGTTTAAACAACTGAAACATTATAACAATACCTCCTAAATTGTGTTGCTAGAGACTGTTAGCTGATATCACTTAGCTATATCATGTGAGAGAGTGTTGAAGGTAGTATAAATTGTTTAAACCATAAGACCATCAGGACCATTGATTTTGACATTATACACGTTATTCAAATTATGATTGTAAACAGGTGGTTATATATTCTTTTTCAGTGGAAAGGTATGACCCAAGAACTAATAGATGGACACCAGTCTCACCAATGGGTACACGTAGAAAACACCTGGGCGTGGCCGTATATAATAGCATGATATATGCCGTAGGTGGTAGAGATGATACAACAGAATTAAGTAGTGCTGAAAGATATAATCCTCAAACCAATAGCTGGCAACCTGTAGTTGCCATGACGTCTAGGAGAAGTGGGGTAAGAATTTATTATCAAGTTTTGTAATATGTTTACTTCTTTTGGCTCAAAATTTATATCTTTGGCTTATAATCCGTAGAAATTGCATAGAGGTAAATTATCACCACTTTTAACCTTTAAGGGCATGACTGGTGACATGTCTGGGTCTGTACTCAACAGCTAAAGCTGCTTTTTGTGCCTAACCAGGCGGATGTCTCATTTAACATAGACTATATACATCAAGTTATGTTTTAAATAGTTCATGCCAGATAAAAGGTTGAACACTACTATGACTAGGATTAAGTCATTGTCTGAACTATCATTCATCAAATGGCACAGGGGTTATCAGTGAAAGTTTGGCTTAAATTTGTTACAGAAAGGAACCAAGTATTACCTATTCAATAATATTTTGGTCACCAGAAATGCAGATTTTGCAAGTTTTAACACTGGAAAAGTGTAGTATACTTAAAGACATCATTTAAATGTATAGTGCCTTTTTTCCTGGTGCATTTGCATAATTGTGTTAAATAAGTGAGTAAGGATATGCAATTTTAAAATCAAATCTGAAATGTTCTCCTGTTTTAAACATACCTGTATTATAGTCTTTTCCAGGTTGGACTCCTGTTTAAGTTTTTATTTATTATTTTGAAATGGTTTATACCTACATGTATTACACTCTATTTCAGGTTGGACTTGCTGTAGTTAACGGACAATTAATGGCAATAGGCGGTTTTGATGGAACTACTTACTTAAAGACAATAGAACAGTATGATCCTGAAAATAACTGTTGGAAATTATGTGGTGGCATGAACTATAGACGTTTAGGTGGAGGTGTGGGTGTTGTTAGAATGCCACAACATGAGACTCACTTGTGGTGAAACAATCAAATTGTTTTTTGTATTGGGTTAAAAAGAGAGATAGTGCTTTAGTCGGGAAGAAAAAGAAAAACAATTAATAGCGGTACAATTGTGACAGATGACTTCCAGAACAAAGCAAGGATTTGTGGGAATTGAACTTTTCCAGGATAGAAACTGAAAATTTATTTAAAATATGGATATATTTATGAAAATTTTGGGACTTATAATAAGTTATTCCAAAATGTTCCAGTGAAAGTAATGTTTTATTTTCATGGAAGAGGACAGAGTGATTTTTATTGTAGACCGACAAAATCTGATGTATGTGATAGAAGAAAACTTTTGAGTTTTGTCTAGGTACAAACTGTATGGTGTAGATAGTAAGGATCAACTTCTGTAACATACAGAACAGTTCAGTCTTTGAGAATTGTTTGTTTTTTGTTCAGTGACATTTTACAATGTTTTTATCTTAATGCCATAGGGACGACCTTTAATACAAGGACCTAGAAACTTAGAGCAGATTTATAAAAAGACTTTATCTTAAATGGCTTAGCTTAGAAGACATTTTTATTAGAGTGAGACTTTTTGTCCCTTCAGTTCATTTGTGTCATTCCTTACCTGTTTCACAAGTAGTAATTCATTATGAAAATTTGCTTAAATTCAGCTACTGAAAGATTATGGGCAGAAAAGCTTATGTTTGAAATGAAGAGAGCTTAGATGAAAGAAAAGTTTGCTGAGGAAATGTGAACATATTAAGAATAATTTATTATTATCAGTTTTCACGTCATTTTGTTTCAATTTTCCTGTTTTCCCCATTGATGTAAATGGAGTGAAACATGTATGATTTTTCATATACAATTGTAGATTTGCTTTATTTTTAAAATGAGCTTGTGTCTAAAAACTTGTTAACTGCCATTAATTCTTTGATCTGAGTTTTCCATTTGTAAATACCCAAATTTTCTTCCTGTCATACTAATCGAAAGTGCAATAGTTTCTTCCCATTTAACTATGCTAGATTTTCTATATAATGGACTGGCCTGGCTTTGGATTGGCAATATTTTCAAGTAGATAAGAGGGTCTTGTTGACCAACTGTTAGAATTAAAGCAGGCATTAGTATAGAGCTTTGACAAACTGCCCGGGCTGACATCAATGTCTATATGAGTGGCAGAGGCTAGGCACGTCCATTTCAACTTCAGCATTCAACCCATTTAAAATCTTTAGTCATAAATTGTATTTATCTTGTGATGTTATAGCAAGACACATGTACAGTATTCTTTATAATATGTTGTCAGGTACACTGTTTTCTGTACAATTTTCTCACATGTATTGAATTTGTTTACAGTATAACCAATAGGAAAATAATGAAAGTTAAAAACATCCAAAATAATGCAATAGCTTTGCTTGATTATTAATGTGGAATGTGGGAGCGTCTGTGACCTATGGATACATTTCTATTTAATTGGTAAATACTGGTTAGTTTTCAAGGAAAACTGGTTAGGTGGACTGCCAAGATAATTATGACCAAAATCAAGATATAAATCTGTGTAAAAACCAAACAAATGTAAAGTTAAGACTAGCATCTTGTAGGTGAGCTTTAGTATATAATATTTACTAAGTATTATCTTATTCCATTTTGAAGTGCAGTCAAAACATACATGATTTGGTTTACAAAATTTAAGAAAAGGGAAATTTCAATGCAATTTAATTTTTAAACTTTTTATTATGTTTATTCAGGCATACATTATTTATTCAGGCATACATTAATGATTGTTTACAAATTATTTTCATTTAAGAATTACTTGGATTGAATCAAAAGCTAGTCCTACTTTTTTAACTGGTCAGTTGGATCGTAATTTCTTGAAGATGATGGTCATGTTAATTTTGGGATAAATGAAAACATTATATATTTCTCATATAGGTATGTAAATATATCCATTTATTACCATAATTCTTGTTTATTTTAATAATGTATGAATTTACTTTAAAAGTAGATTTTCCATGTATGATGAAAGTTGCACTTTTATGTTATATTATTTTATAATGCCCATTATTTGTGATAAATATTCTTCCTTTGTGGTCAGAAAATTGTTAACATATGTATGTGTTTTTAAAGAGTAAAATATTCTCCAAGTTATATAGAACCCTTTTTCTGTTTTATTCCCTCTCAACAAATCTTGATTAACCCACAACAGTGAACATCATGAGATGTGAAGTCAGCAACATTGACAGCTTTAATTAAATTCAATCATAGGGGAAGGGGGTGTTCACTTAAATTTAGGAAAAAATAGTACTATAACAAAAGGCGGAAAAAAACTTTGATGTAAATTTATTTATTTTATTTTATTAATACTCAAATGATTTTAAAGAACATTCTTTAAGCAGCATGACCTCAGATTCGTTTTTTTCATGAACATTTTGGAAATGTATTTAAATGTAAAATATTCTGAGGTGAACAAATAAAGTAATTTACATATTGCAATCGGCAGTTACAATCCAAGAAAATTACCAAAAAGTGGTCAACATATGCAAAAATAGCCCTTACTGCGTTAGTAACGCAGTAGAAATATTGTGATAAAATACTGCAAAAGCGGTCTTAAACTGCACATAACATGTAAAACATAACTTGGATCTTCAATATTTTTAACCTTTCTTATAAAGATAAAAAGGAAGAATTCAAAGAAACCACACGTCAACACCGGATAAATGTTAACAAAATTTTAATAAAAGATCTACCGGTTTCGAACCTATCTGGTTCTTCATCAGGATAAAATTTACAAAATATAAATCTAGCTAAAGTATAACAATTGTGTAAGATGGTAAGTCACGTGATATATAACAAGAGCTGTCGGTAGGACAGCAACGCTCGACTATTCTTAGTGCTTGATAGTAAAAAAAATGCTTGATACAGTTACCTCCTCCTGTTTACAGGTTGGGGTCATGATGGTGAACAAGTGTGCAAAGTTTCAAAGCCATATGTCAATGGACTTTGAAGATATTTGAACTATTACAAAAACTTTAACGTAAATTCTAAGTCGAAAAAGGGGCATAATTCTGTCAAAATGCTTGATAGAGTTACCTCCTGCTGTCTACAGGTTGGGGTCATGATGGTGAACAAGTGTGCGAAGTTTCAAAGCCATATGTCAATGGACTTTGAAAATATTTGAACTATTACAAAAACTTTAATGTAAATTCTAAGTCGAAAAAGGGGCATAATTCTGTCAAAATGCTTGATAGAGTTACCTCCTCCTGTCTACAGGTTGGGCTTATGATGGTGAACAAGTGTGCAAAGTTTCAAAGCCATATGTCAATGGACTTTGAAAATATTTGAACTATTACAAAACTTTAACGTAAATTCTAAGTCGAAAAAAGGGGCATAATTCTGTCAAAAATGCTTGATAGAGTTACCTCCTCCTGTCTACAGGTTGGGGTCATGATGGTAAACAAGTGTGCAAAGTTTCAAAGCCATATGTCAATGGACTTTGAAAATATTTGAACTATTACAAAAACTTTAACGTAAATTCTAAGTCGAAAAAGGGGCATAATTCTGTCAAAATGCTTGATAGAGTTACCTCCTTCTGTCTACAGGTTGGGGTCATGATGGTGAACAAGTGTGCAAAGTTTCAAAGCCATATGTCAATGGACTTTGAAAATATTTGAACTATTACAAAAACTTTAACGTAAATTCTAAGTCGAAAAAGGGGCATAATTCTGTCAAAATGCTTGATAGAGTTGCCTCCTCCTGTCTACAGGTTGGGCTCATGATGGTGAACAAGTGTGCAAAGTTTCAAAGCCATATGTCAATGGACTTTGAAAATATTTGAACTATTACAAAAACTTTAACATAAGTGGTTACGCCGACGCCGACGCTCGGGTGACTGCAATAGCTCTACTTATTCTTATCGAATAGTCGAGCTAAAAATAATAACAAAATTAATAAAGTTTTCTAAAATAGATAGAGTTTTGGAAAATTGCCAGGAAAATTATGGAGTTGTGCCAAGTTTCTTTAGGTTTAATTTTAAATTGTTGTTTGGAGAATACCATATATATTGTAAACGTTGATGATCAGTTCATTTTCACTATTATGCATTAAATGTTCATCCTCGCAGATAGTTGATGTTGATGAGCTATTCGTTGGTGATGTGGTTCTGTCTGTTTGTAGATGTTCTTCTGTTTGTGGTGTAGGGCTTAGTGGTGATATTGGTCTGGGAATGTTAAATTTTAGGTCTTCTGTCTTTGGTTGTTTGTAAATTTTCTTCTTTTTTAAGTCCAGTTGTCCGGTTTTGCCTTGGATGATTCTGAAGGTGGGTTTCTTAAGAATGGTCATCTTGTTGGGAGGGTCTTTTGATGGAGTCATGGAATTTAGAATTTTTACTATATGGAATTTTTCCTCACGTAGAAAATGGATATTTCTTGAATGACGTTTTAGAGAGTCTCTCCTTGCTAATAATTTCTGGCACCAATCACATCTAAATTTGATTGTTGTTTGTTCATGTTTCTTCATGTGTCTTCTCAGGTTTTTTGCTGAATTAACGACTAGTTTGCATGTGTTGCATATGTGGATGTTGTCTATAAAATTTAGTTGTTCTAATTCTTTCTGTGTGTGGTCTTCTAATTTCTTAGCGTATAGTACCTCTTTTAAATTAAATTCAATCCGTCTGGTGTTTTTGTATTTAGCTTCTTTATCCATTCTTAAAAAGAATACAGAAACATAGGCCAGTTTATAATTATTGATCAATATTTTTTATATGATATATACTAAATGTATGCCACAACATCTTTTTTGTGGTCAAAGAAAAATACAAAATCAAAGATACAAATTTGTGATTTTATTAGCCTGTTAAAATATGACATTTCATGATTTGCTCATGGCAGGTTAACTCTTCACCAGGAAGGACAATGGTCCAGTCTCACAATGTTACCAAATTGGAAAGACAAAATATTGTGTAGTCTTGACAATTAAAATTAACATCATTAGTATTGTAATTATTTCTGTGACTGGTACCACTGAATATTGCTCAGTTAAATACAGCCATGAATGTAGCTGGAACCAGCCATTCTATACTACAGTTTCAATGTCTCTTTCATAGGAACAAAACACTTGTTTTCACAATGTGAGACTTGTAACAAATCATCATCTCGCTGGTTCCATGCTTAAACATGAGTTACAAGCTGAGGTATTAACATATTATTCTCTTAGTATTACAAAGTCTGTTTCATAAGAACCTGTCACTTATTTACCCATATGTTAAGAGAAGTAACCTTATAATAACTGACTGGTTCCATGCTAGACCATGTGATATGCAGAACCCAAAACTCTAAATGGAACCAGTGTGAACTTGGTTGGTTCCCTGAAAGCTGTGTCATCTTCTTCCATCCTTTCTATAATAAGGCTTATTATTGTCTCTGTGACTGGAACCAGTCCCTTGATTTCTATTTGGTCTCTGATGAACACTGGTTCCCTGCTGAATCTGTTGAGCACTGCTATATTTACTGGAACCCGGTATTGCAGCAGGCTTGGCACTCAAATTAAAGTCTTGTTCACATTTTTCCATGTTTTTCAGTTTCATTTCAATTGCTCTAATTTTGGATTCTGAGCTGTAATAAATAAAATACAAGTCTTCATGTAATTCAAAAATAATGGTTAAAATCTACTGTCATGTATAAATCTTACAAATAGGGTGTTTCCCTCAAGGTACTGCAGTACTTTGATAAAAAGTTCAGTTCATTTGTAACAAGAGGGCCCTGAGGTCGCTCACCTGTATATAGGCCCCCGGAGCGGGGCCAGTTTAAACCCCAGGGCTTTTATTTGAACAAACTTGGAAGACACCCATTAGAAGATGTTTCATGATGTTAAGTTTTTACTACACACATATAATGAAAAACAATGACCTCTGCACCTCCACCCTTTCCCCCCCTCTCCACCCCCCCTCCCGGCAGGGCCAATTTTAACCCAAGGGCTTTTATTTGAACAAATTTGGTAGACACCCACAAGAAGATGTTTCATGTTAAACATCTTACCTCTAGCTCATTGGGTTTTTTAAAAGAAGATTTTTTAAGTTTTTACTATACACATATAATTAAAAACAATGACACCTCTGGGGCAAGCCAGTTTTGACCCCAGGGCTTTTATTTGAGCAAACTTTGTAGACACTTACTACAAGATGTTTCATGCTTAATATCTAAATTCTAGCTATTTGGGTTTTTTCAAAGAAGAATTTTTGCCAAACACATATAAGGAAAATCAATGACCCCCTTCTTGGCAGGCCAATTTTGACCCCAGGGCTTTTATTTGGACAAACTTTGTAGACACTCACTAGAAGATGTTTCATGCTTAATATCTTAACTCTAGCTATTTGGGTTTTTTTCAAAGAAGATTTTTTAAGTTTTTGCTATACACTTATAAGGAAAATCAATGACCCCCGGGGTGGGGCCAATTTTGACCCCAGGGCTTTTATATGAACAAACTTTGTAGACACCAATTAGAACATGTTTCATGCTAAATATCTTAGCTCTAGCTCTTTGGGTTCTTTAAAAGAAGATTTTTTAAGTTTTTACTAATTATGCATATAGGGAAAATCAATGACCCCCTGGGGCGGGACCAATTTTGACCCCAGGGCTTTTATTTGAACAAACTTGGTAGACACTCACTAGAAGATGTTTCATGCCAAATATCTAAGCTCTAGCTCTTTGGGTTTTTTAAAAGAAGATATTTAAAGTTTTTTCTTTCGGTTGCCATGGTTACCAGAGTTCTGCATGGAATTAAATTCTTTGAACAATTTTTAAAGGTGACCACCAAAGGAACATTCCTGTGAAGTTTGGATGAAATTGGCTTAGTGGTTTATGAGGAGATGTCATTTAAAGTAAAAGTTTACGGACGGACAGACGACAGATGGACGACGGAAGAAAAGCGATCACAAAAGCTCACCCTGTCACTTTGTGACAGGTGAGCTAATAAGAAAAAGGTTTTACTTTCACTGACTTATTTTACTGGTATTAAATTGGGTTTTCTTTTCTTAAAATTTTAAAGTTAAAACAAAATTTTTAATCTATCTTTGGGTAAAAATTGATTGCTGAAATTTTTTTGCAATTAGTAAATTCTTACTAAATTGGTCTAATCTGAATGCACAAATTTTGTTTTGGAAGCTACATTTCCTATTACCGGTCAAGTAAGTTTGGTCCTTTCTTATAAACAGCTAGTTTTTTTTGTTTTTTTTTTTTAAATTACACTATGAATTCACACTGTAAATACCTATAGTGTGTTTACCTGTCTATACCTAGAGTTTACAACATATCCACTCTTTGTTTCCTCAAAATATGTTTATTTACATTTAAAAGGATAGAAATTAAAACTGACAATTATCAGTATTTTCAAACATGAAATTTGAGCATAATAAGCCCATTTATTACTTATACCTAAGATGGTTGTTTGACAGATCTGGTTGTTTCCCTTGGATACCTGGTCTCTCTTGTTCTCTATCCTGAAACAGTTTATCAAGAAAACTTTCAAAATAAATCTGCTGGAACTTTGAGGATTAATTTATTAAAAATAATGCTTTCACTTTATTATTCAGTGCAGAGGGTCTTTCTTCGTAAAACTGGTCAGTCACAGATATTACTTCAAAATCTTACCAACCCCAAACACTCTTGCACCAAAATAATAATTTCTTTATTCATTTATATTCATATTCACATTCACTTTCTCTTATAATGAGTTATCTATTTTTTTTTAGCAAAATTCTATATTCAAATCCATCCTATATCAATGTTTCTACAGCAAGAAGTGAAACATAAGACTTCATAGATGTTCAGTCATGCCTGGCTCAAAAATGTTGAAATAGGTTGCACAGATGTTAAGACTCACCTGGTTACATATGGATGGTATAGACATAGCAAAATGATGGCTTGTTTTTAACAGAGGTAATAACCTGCCTAACCATTGACAAATGTGTTGGCATGGCTGGATTGTATATGCATCAGACTGGTAATCTATTGATCGCTAGCCACATTGGTTCAAACTCCATCAGGGGCAAGTCGTTTCCTTGAGCAAGAAACTTTACACTCTTTGCTCAGTACTCAGGTTGGCTCAAGAAACAGAATCAAAAGTGTATTTATAAGCTTATTACACAATCAAAGCTTTAAAAAAATTCTGTTAGGACCAGATGTGTCAAAATTTGAACAATATTTTAATGTACAGACTAACCTCTTCTCTATGAGCCCATCTTATCATCATACGTTTTGATAATGCCAGTTTTTTATCCAAACATTTCATGGCTTTCTCTGCTTCCTAAAATATACAAGATATCCTATAACATAATATATACAGTTGAACCTGTGAACAGAGGCCATCCAAGAAGCAGAAAATGTCCTTTTAAAACAAGTGGTCTTTATTTGGAGGCTTATTTATTATATATAATCAATGAAGTGTTGTTGAAGAGTGGGCTTTATCAGCAGTGTGATCTTTATTCAGATTTGGTCTGTAAAACAGGTTTGACTTTATATATCATTGTGTATAAATTGAATTAATTGTCTGTTCTGCTTTGTTCTTATGGTTACAAAATCATAACATTCAATACTATAATCAGTACTTTAAAAATTCATTAAAGATATAACTGAGGTTTCAAAGGAGAAAATCTTAATGTTAAATAAAATAAAACATTTATTAACGTACACCTTTGAAATAATTTTGTCAAACTTTACTTGCATTCCTCATTTAGGAAATTAGAACAAAGAAAACAAAGACGGCTGTCTTCCATATACATGTACACTACTTTTAAATCTCTATTTTATAGTATAACATACTTTACACTATTATCTTGTTATGCAGTCTGATTAATCAAGTATTTATCACATTAATGTATGTTTATAAACCAAATGACAATGTGAACATTACTTCTTCCAATTAAGTTCAACATATTTTCATCACTTCTCTTTCTCTGTTAGAACAGAAAAGGTATTGGTCTAGATTCTTGAAAGTGTTGAAGTACAATTAAGTACAGTTTATCACTCAGTTTGCAATTAATCACTCAGTTTGACCAGCTTTCATGATTACTGTATACCCCTACTGTGCATTATTCTACATAAAAAACATTAAAAAGTAATACATATTTCCTAAACATTATAATCATCAGAAACAATACTCTAGTATTTTCTCAGATTTTTACGTTTTTATTGGAGAAGTTTCTCATATTTTTTACCTTTTAACCGGGGAAGTTTCTCAGATTTTTACCTCTTACTTAAGTATTTTTTCACATTTTAACCTCTTTATTAAAGTATTTTCTCAGATTTTAACCTTGTTACTTTTGTTTTTAAATTTTTTATCTCTTTGCTAAAGTATTTTTTCAGATTTTACCTCTGTACTGGAGTATTTTCTCAGATTTTTTACCTCTTTCCTAAATAATTTTCTCATTTTTTTTACCTCTTTATTCACAAACATTCTCAGATTTTTGCATTTACTGGATTGTTTTTTTCCAGACTTTTACCTCTTTACAAAAGTATGTTTTCAGAGTTTTTCCTTTTTACTAAAGTAATTTCTCAGATTTTAACCTCTTTACTAGAGTATTTTCTCTGATTTTAACCTCTTTTCTCAAATATTTTCTCAGATTTTATCCTCTGTAATAAAGTACTTTCTCAGATTTTTACCTCTTTACTGGAATAGGTGACAAAGCAGTATCCTCGTGGTTTACCCAAGTCTGGTCCAGTCTTGTGATAAAGAAAATCAAATCTCTGTAAACTCCCAAACTTCTGTAATATCTTTAATAAGGCAAACCTGAAAAAACATAGAAATGTTTCATCATAATGATCAGCTGCCATTGACTTATATAAAGATTACATCTAAATTATGATACCTGAGGGTCAAGTGAAAGAGTCCTAGTAAAATGATTGCTGGCTAAATTAAGCATACACTTAGATGTTGAATGAAGCACCTTAACAGGAGTGTAGGATTTCTTTAAAATGTAAAAATTCAGTCATACAAAGACTTGCTAAGTGAGATGTCTGCTTCTCTGTTCTACAATGGAAGGTGCCAGTGTGAGATTCTAAGATTTGTCATAAAGGTATTTTACTATTCATTCCTTCCTCTATACAAACTGAATCATACTGGTATGCATTTTGCTTTACCTACAGCTACTAAATTTTATAAATTCTATTTTTGGAGCATTCCATTATAAACTTTTGGGTAAACAAGATGAAAATTTTAAGTTATTTAGCCAAGACTATAGTCAAAATATATTGACTTGCCAAAGCTACATTCTGATATATTTTTGTTCTATTAAGGAGATATTTCCCATACACAAACTAGCACTATATTGTCATCGCGTAGTACAATTACATGTAGTTGGACTTCCCATGAGTAAGACGGTATAGATGTGCATCCTGGTCCAGCTCTTTACTGGTGGTAAATGGTTAATCCCTTTTAGCTCAGCAGGGTAGTGGTTACAAATCTAAATTCAGAAAGCCTTTTTAAATAATCTCACTTTTTTTTCAATTTTAAGCAAACTTATATTGACCTATAAACTATTGTGCTAATTACTGTAAAGAATCTTGACCTATGAACTTTTGTGATAATTACTATATAGATCATGGGTCTTGATTGTACATAAGAATATCATACTCTGTGACTCTTGTGTCAAGGTTTCCAATCCAGAGACGACGGTCATTTTCTTCGGAACAATCTACAGGGTCATCTGGTATAGGAATGACGTCAGTGGTTGGACTCTGAAAATATAACATCACAAGTTACTTGATATACAAAAACTAAAAGCTTTTACTGGTATTAAGGAAGACCTTTCCCTGTGCAGTGTTTCAGGCAGGAGCATGCATGGGTGCAAAATCACGAAAATCTGTTAGAAAAGCTGAACAGTTTCCTCACATGAAACAATCAAAAGATCATAGCAGGTTTAAAACCCACAGATATAGGAGACAAGAGATTCAAAGTGAACCACATTTACTACAATTGAGATAAGAAAGCATTACATTAAAAGATTCCTTTAACCTTTAAACAATTAAAAGGTATGTTAAAGATTTCATGCATGTTTCAAAAAGTCAAAAATTAAAAAAGCTTTCATTGGCATGGAAACTTTGAAGGTTGTAGAATTTGAAACTCTGTTTAATGGCAATGCTTAAAGTTGTCCACAAAGAGAGTGAGAGACACTGACAGAAAAGCAGACCATACCAAAAAAATAATCTTTTGTCAACTTAACCCACTGAGAGGATTTAAGATATTTTTGAAATTCTTTACTAAAAATAGGATATACTTTTCTCAAAATAGGATATAGAAAAAGTTTAAATTGTAGAAGTACTAAAAATGTTGATTGTTAAAACTGTAAAATAATTTAAACGTTGAAGGAAAAAGTAAAAACATGTAAATTTTTCATAAAATTTTAATTTAATACAGAAACATCTCCTTTTGCTTTTCTGTTTTCCATGTGACACAAGTATATATTTTTGTCATCCTAATCTAATTTTTACAAAGTATTGTTTTCCATGACTCAAATTATCTATATGCTGACAACATCTAGAGTAAGCAAAAACTATGATATCATCATTAAGGGCGTATAATAAACAACAAAAACAACACTTTTATCTATATGCCATCAAAGACAAATTACACCCTTTCATGTATATAATAAATGACTGCCCGGTGGTCAAGTCTGCATAACAAAAACACAGGTAGGTGTTTAAAGGCATGCGGACAACTCATTTAAACATCAAATATTAATTAGCATCATTTGTCATTAAGATTTGTTGTACATAATGGTGTGTATCTCCTGAAGGTTATTTTATTATTATGTACACTTAATATAATACACCCAGTTTTATCATACAACATAATATTTCAATATACAAGAAAAACCTCAAAAAGCTTTAAATGCTCATTATGCCTCAACAATGAATATATTTTCCTTACCCTTATCCTGATCATAGAAAGTTAAAAAATTGAAGCTGGACAAGTTAATTTAAGTTATTAAATTTATTTAAATAAAGATATTAAGTAAAGGTATTGAAATTATTGCAAAAAAAATATCTGAAGCTTGAAGCTTCACTAGTGATTAGAAATTTAATTTCCATTCCTAAATTATCATATTTGATACCAGTATAATATCAATTTTAATTTTAAACATCCTTTTTCAAAAACTCTTAATATTTTTTCAAACTTGTTACAAGAAAAATTTGTAGAAATAATTCTTAAAAATTAAAAAGTCTGGCAAAATAGTGCAAAATAAGTTAAAAAGCCATTTTGGCTTATCAGCAAGGAAGGTTAACACTGCTGGAATCTATGTTAACAGAAGATAACCTCATTTTTCAGATGAAACAGCAGTTCAATTTCAGACTTTCTTTATCTTAATTACTTTAAATCTCGAATATTCTCTACAACAAAGTGAAAACTGATGAGCTAAATATATCCTCAGTTTGATTACAACATCATTTATTTAGGCTTGATTGTAAAAGTAGGCTTGTAGTTTACAAGAACCGCTAACTATAAGTTATAATGAAACATAACCAGTGCTGGTTCCATGAGATCAAACATGGTCAGACCTACGATACCTGGCTTCAGTGGCACATCACCACATAGTTGGATTTACAAAAATTAGCCAAACTGTTAGAATTTTTTACTGTAACAGGTTTTCCCTCTTAAAATTTTGCACCTAAAAGATTTTATTATTAATAGCAATAGCTATAATAGCCTTTGACACAACTCATATAATAGCAATTACTTCAGGCCAAAAAGGTTAACTATAAACTACTATATTTTTTTTATATTTTCAAAGTTCAAGAGGGATTAATCTCTGTAAAAAATCATCGAACTATGACCAAATTCAAACTTGACCTCTGTATTCCTATGACATATCCATATATTAAATTTGAGTTGATTGTGTATAACTTTTGGGGAGATAATGAATGGAAACTGTAAATTTCTTATTTTTCAAAGTAAAAGGGGCATAACTCTGCCAAAAATCATCGAACCATGACCAAATTCGACCTTGACCTGTGCATTCCTTTGACTTATCAAGGCAATTTTGAGTTGAATGTGTACAACTGTTGGGAAGATTATAAACAAAAACAGAATATTTTCAAAAAAGATTTTGAAGTTAAAGGGGCATAACTCTGCCAAAAATCATTAAACTATGAACAAATTCGATCTTGCATTTTCTTATTATATATCTATGTCAAATTTAAGCTGATTATGTGCAACTGTTGCCATTAGATATTGAATGGAAACTCAGTGAGTCTGATTATGACGGAATGATGGAGTGACGGAACTGGGTAACACTGAGTATATGACTCAGCCATTTTATGGTGGGGGCATAAGAAACATAACAGAAATCACCACAGTGAAGACGTATCACTTGTGTTACCTGTCAATTCCTAATTGAAAGCAGTTATCATACAGGTTCATAAAGACCTGTTGGCATATCTTCCAATAAAAAACCTCTTATTACACCTGACATTTATGCTACAAAAGGTGTGGAAATCAGGCAATACCTGTCATATTATAAACATATCAAAACATCAGCAGTATATGCCAGGTGCCTGTTTTAGTATCGTCTATGTAGAAGAACTTGTAAGAATCTATTTATGTCAACTAACATAATTTATCTAGTGCCAAATCTAATTGTTTGGCGCTTTTTTTACTGTTTGTATAAATATAGGTCATTGCCTCTTGTATAATTTTTATATAGAAAGATTTTTTTCCCCATTCATGTTTTCTCTCGCATTTTTATATTTCATTTCTCTGTATACATGGTATAAGTCCTGAATTATATGATCGCTAGCACTACTAGCATAATCATTAAGAAGGACATTTTTTCCAGCTTGGAAAATCACATCTGAGTTTATATAATTGATCAACTTTCCAAAAGCTAGCTGAAAAAAAAAAACTTCCTCACATTAGGCTGAATGAATTCAAATCCTGCAACCATTTGCCATAAGTAATCCCAAGCAATAGCAAAGAGATTACAAAATTGATTGTTTAACATTTGCCACAAATAACATTTTGTTCAAATTCAAAAATATAGGCCTAAAATGTATACTAAAAAGTTTTGAACCAATTTGAAACAGACACATAAATCAGACAAAAATCATTAGGGTTCATTTTTACTAGTCATAACCATCCTTTAAAACAAAAATTCTTAGGACTAAAGGCCACAGCATTCTCTAGTTATTGGTCACACAAGCTTTTAGTTGACAAGGCCAAGGTGACCTTAACCTATGATCAACTAGCCTCAAAATAAATAGGGAGCTGCAGTTCTACTAGTCATGGCCATCCATCAGACTCAATCTCAGGACTGTAGGCCAAAGCATTCTCTAGCTATTGTTGGTTAGAGTATTCCTGAGATGGCCATGTCAGCCTTGACTTTAATAAATGAGCCACGTCACAACAAAACCAACATAATGGGTTTGCGTACAGACGCTATAACAAATAAAGAAACTGATAGCCAATAGCATGGATCCTGATCAGACTGCGCGGAGGTGCAGGCTTGTCTGGATCTATGCTGGTCGCAAATCCATTATGTTGGTTTTGTCATGACGCGGCTCAAATGAATGACCAGTCAATTAAAATTCAATATGGGTCAACTAAACCACATGATCAACCTTCATACTAAATTTAAGAACTGTAGGCCAAGCATTCTCTAGACACTGGTCAGACTAGTTTTTTGCAGTCAAGGCCACTGTGACCTTGAAACTTTGATCAATCAACTTGCTGCTTATAAAAGAGCAGAACAATCAAATATATTTCAACTTGAATTTATTCTTTATATTATTTACAACATTTTTCAATCAAAATTCACAAATTCAGTCACATTTTACAGGTTGTTGAAACAACCAGTAATCAGGAAAATTGGTGACAATTTAGTGTTGATTAAGCTGGTGCTGGAATTAGCTTCTGCGGTCTTGGCGCTTTTAAAGGTGGCAGAGGTGCTGTAACATACAATATTCCGTCACTTCTGAGCTCAGTCATCAAAATATCTGGTGTAATGTCCATAGGCAACACATATGATTTATTATACTCGACTGGTACTCTTCTGCTAGAAAGTATGTCAAAATCTACACGCTTTGCACTGACTGTTAAATGGCTTCCAGCTATACTGACATGAATCTCTTCCGGCTTGAACTGACGCAAATCAAACGCAAGTTGGAATATTCTTGATCCGTTTGCCAGTGTTTGAACAGGATTATCAAAGTTGTACATTTCAGTAAGTCTCAAGTCATGTACAGGTGCTGGACCTGGCTGTGGATCTATACCAATTGTAGGGTTCATTTTTTCCAGATCCTTCAGGATACTTGGTGAAATTTCGGTACCGTTTTGTTTTACAGGTAATCCCCATACTTGACTTAACAAGCTTATCACCACAGCAGTCCAAAAAATATTGTTACACATTGTAGTTGCTCCTTCAAATATGTCAATTTTTAAAGAAAAATATTCTCTCTTTTCAGATACCTCCAAACTGTTTTAAATGTTTAAAATAGCCAAGACTTCTTAAAATCTGTATCTTAAACTTATGTTCTTCTTGTTTTGACAAGTTTCTGACATCCCAACCACATTATAATATAATATTTTGTTTTGAATGTGTGCAAGGGCTGGTCATTATTTTCTTTTCTTTTGGTGTAGTAAAAGACCTCAAGATGGGGCTCAGCATACAAAATTACTAAACTCTGGTCATTGTTGTTACTACATGACTGTAAGGAGGAGAGTTCTTTGAAATTTTTAAGAT